AACCGAAGCTCGTAGGAAGCTAAACATTGGAGGTTTCCTGCTGCACTCTGTGCTGCTCAGTTAGCATGATAAAGCTCATGAAAGGGAAACAAGGAAAAAAAAGGCTGAACAAATATGGCCTGTTTGGACAGACTACAAAGAGGAAAGATGATCTTTACAAAATGTCTTATGGTTACAAAGCTGAATCTGAACAAACGACACTTTGGTAACAATTCGCTTGGACTAAAACTGGGGATATTTGATGGAACACAACCCATAAAATCCAGTTCAACCAACTGCCTCAATTAATAGCCCAGGGGTTCATCATCTTGAGGGTTATTAAACAATAACCCAAAATTAAACCCACCAAAGGAGAGCTTCTCAATCAATCGTCTCAAATGGAAACAGTAAAACCAAAGCAAGATATGGCATCAAAACATGTTGGCAGAATAAGAGCAACAATCATGGAGGCCGACAAGATGCCATCAAGTGTGGAAGAGCTGCAGAAGATGTACGAAAAAACTAATGTGGAAAGAAATCCAACGTCCCAACATGTAGGGGATTATATATGTGGGGGAAGTTAACTCTATGCATGATTCTAAAAACAGCCTTTGTATAATAAAACACGGCGGTGTCAGCATTATGCTGTGGGGAGTCTTTTACAGCTCAGTATAAGGGAAGATGATGGGGGTGTGGCTTCAATTAAAATAAAAACAAGCCAAATTTAAAGGGTTTAGGTTGTAGTATGCTGACGTATTAGGATGGCTTAGTCAAAGGCATAATAATAATAATAATCCACAGATGCTTTCCATCCATACATACCGTGTTGCATAGAAGCATGCACTAACTGGTAGGCACAGAGCTGGTAAAGAAAACCTCCAGCTTTGATTGTAATGAAAGGTGGATCCTTATCCACATGCATACCAGACTTTTTTTTTTTTAGAAGAGAAGGAAAAATTCCTTGCAATGCTTTACTTTCTTTCAATCAGTCCCAGAAAATACTAACAAAATCCACTAAAAGCTATGATTCCAGCTCCACGAAAAAGCCAATAAGGTCAAGGCGTGTGACTAGTTCAGCAGCCATCTGAACAAACAGCAAAGAGGAACGATTTCCAAGGAGAACGGACTTCTGAGTAAAAATAGGTGAAAAAGGAGACAGTGAGAGCATCATAGAATATATATATATATATATATATATATATATATATATATATTTTTTTTTTTTCTTTTTTAGTTCTTCAAAATGTGAAATGAATTTCTCCAGACAGCTGCCCATGTGGAAGCCATGTGGAAGCCTTAAATCTGGGTTTATGTGCTTAAACGAGGTCATCCACATGAAGAACGTCGGACAGGGTCAGAAAGCAGCTCTGCAGGCTGTTCTGATAAAAGAGGCCTGCAGAGCTTCACATGCAGCACTTTTCGTTGCTGTTATCAGAGCTCATTCAAGATATTTTGCATTGTTTTTTAAAAAGTCTGTCTTTTGAAGCAGCCACAGCCCTGCTGATCTGGTGCAGAGGAAGTTATTAAGATGACAGATCATTAAAAAATAAACAACTCCAGCAGCATCCTCTCCAGTCTTAAAGACTACCCAGCAGGACCTTAATGATCTTTACGTCCATCCGTCTCTCATTAACCTTCATGCTCCGGTAATGGAAAGTGGAAGCTGCATGTCCAGAGAGAATTTACCAGCTGGAATTCAAATGAAAAGCATGAAAGTATGGTTGTGTTTTTTGTGATGATTACCAGCAGCATTCGCTCTTGTATAGAAGAAAAACAGTGTGTAGGGATGACCCACATTTTGAGACTTTATCTAAAAAAAAAAAAAACGTGACTCAGATTAGATAAAGAGCATCAGTTTTCAAAGTTCTCAAATTGATTTAGATCTGAACTTTGGGCCGTTCTAACGCATGAATACGCTGTGATCCAAACCAATCAAACTTTAAACATATAAGACCCTCTCTGACTTTTGAATCAGAAACAAAACTATATGCATGCCATGATATTTGGCCATATAAACTACTGCCATACCAGATGGTCTCACACTTCAGAGGACATCCTGAAACCTCTACAGTCTCTCTTCAAGATAAACTCTTTATGTTATCATTATTCTAACATTTTAAGTAAGTAAAACATTTTAGACTTCGAACGTCATCAGATATTTTTGGATGCATGTCTTGTTTTTAAAGTTTTAAATGGCTCCTCCTCCTCTAACAGATTTTTTTTTACTAGAATAAACACCAGGGCTATAACCAGAGGTGACCAAATTTGGCCAAATGGTTGCAGCCATCAGAGGAGCAAAGTCGGGGTACACTGCCAGCTCATGTTAGGGGCTTTTAAAATCTCCTTAAAACTTTGGTTTTAAAATAACCAGACATGTGTTCACAGGTGAATTGATCTGTTTCCATGGGCCTGTTAACCTCATTTTATTGTGATTTTATGTCATCCGTTTGTTTCCACTCTGCTCTCTCCCAGTAGTGTCTTGTTTAATGTTCACTGTTCTTACCTGCTTTAGGACAGCAGATGCAAATTAGCTGTAGTGCTAATTCTGGCATATTTACATCGATCTTTTAAGCTCACATGTTGTTAAATGCGAATTTTCCTAATTCAAATAAATAAAACGAAAATAAAAAAATCTATTGTAGCTCTGGCTGAATGCAGCATTGTTGCCCCAGTCTAAAAAGATTTCTTCCAGTATTTAGGTCCATCCATCTTCCCATTAACATCCTCTCAGTTTTGGTAGCATGATGCTACCAAAAAAAAAGGTTTCACTGTACATTCAGGACAAAGTCCAGCATACTGCATGTAGGCCAGGTATAAATATTTGTATAATAATATAAGTATTTCTGTTTGGGTTTCTAAAGACCAGCCTTCTTGAGTTTGTGACTAAATGCGCCACCGCAGGCAACCAGAAAATCCAGACTGAAAGAGAAACAACTAACTGCAATAAAAGGATTCATCCTGCGGTTAAAGCTGCCAGGCCTCTGATCAGAGATGTTGTCAGTGAAATTTGATTCATGCTGCAGTCATTCCACACATGTTCATGTTTGCACATTATTTTTTCCTTGAATTCATGCTGATAATTAACTGCAGTGTTATCCTGTTTGTGTCTCATCCGTGGAGGTTTTAGATCAAATTTACCAGTGAAGGCACCAATCAAAGGAATATAAAACTATAAAAATATCCTTTTGTAGAAATAGTCAGAGACACTCTGGAAAGCTCATATCTAGCAGATAAAAACTGTCATCCGATCTCAGTATGACTGAATATAAAATTAACAACTTCATTTTTATATCATCGATAAAATAAAAAAATTTAAATTAATAGTTAAATTGCTCAAATAGAACAATCAGCTGTGGTTTCTGCTTCAACACATACCCATTTATCATTCATTTATATGTGGTTCTCTAACTACAGTTAAATGCAGTCATCATGATATCAGAAAATCCAACATATTTTCAGGAATATTTCAATTTTTGACTTCATTAAAATGTGTAGAAATATTAACTGATAATAATTGTGGTTCCATTACACATTAAAATCTCAATCTCATATTAGCCTGTTAATCTCTTCTTTAAAGATAGCATAAAAGATACCCAAAATACACTATTTTTCTCATTATGTATACATTCAAAGGTAATATAATATGTTTGGATGTGATGATCAATAAACCTTCTCTTGGTTTAGCAAAAGTTCACTTTGATATTTTTCTTTTTTTCCTCTTTCCATGGAGTTAATGATGCTCTCCTGCCATTGGCTCACCTGTTACAGTACATGTAAACTGATGTTAAAACTAGACAAAGGTTAAAAAGAAGTCCACAGTGATACACAGGGACAGGTGTTCCACTAATGAAAAATAAAATACTGAAGCATGTGATATTTTTCATTAAAATAAAGCATTTCTCTGCCATTTCTCAATAAAGTTACTGTTGAATGTAATTTAATTTTGATATTATGAGGGAGGGACTGACAGTCCTAAACCTGGCCAAAGGAGATATAGCACAAAAAAAAAAAAAAAAAAATTTGTTCTTATTTCTGCCTGGGATTATTATTATCATTATTTGATAGTAGATGAATCCCCCTTATATTGTTTTCTGTCTTTGGTAGAAGGGCCATAAAAGGGCCCCCAGGACCAGTTTGCTGTGGCGGTTCTAGAATAAGTCTACCAGGGGGCCAGGAGGGGGCATTTGTGTTTTCATGGGGGAACAGAAAAGCAGGAAATAAAAAAAAAAACTGGGCAAGAAATTCAAATATATTAAGATAACAGCATGAAGTGAAATTTCTATTCAATTAGGTTTAAAATTCTGTGTCTTATTAGGTCAATATACATTCAGAATTGAGGAATTTTAAATATTTTTCACTTATTTTAAGTAAAATCACCGTTTTCTATAAAACCTGAATTAGAACTCAAGAAAAACTAATAAATTCAGCTGTAAAAATTTGACTTTTTCTTTTATTTGTTTTGAAAAAAACATTTAGCAGATGAAAACTGGGACCCTAACTAAATACCACTGAAGCTGTCAGCTTATTGTTTTTAAATAATTAGTAAAACAGAATTTGTAAAGAAAAAAATGAAATTATGTCTTCAGTACAGGGGCCAGGACATGATCTACAGGGGCACTGGCACCCATTGGCCCCTGTCTGGAACCGCCCATGCCAGTTTGGCAGGAGTATTGGCCCCTAAAAGGAAATATTTATGCATCTTTTGCATTTACGTGAGCGTATTTAGTTATTTTAATAGAATTATTTCCTGTTAGTGGGGTAGGACATGAAAAAAATGTGTTAAGTAACTAAATATGCTTAATAGATGCAAAAGGTAAATCAATTATAGAAATGTATTGTCACTCTGATTGTATCTTAAGTAGTTTTTGAGAGTTTTATTTAGACTTTCTAAACTCAAAGTGTAATAAAAATCTGATTTTAGGGTCCTTCTTCTTAATTATGCAAATGTGGTCATTTATTACACACATTACCGTAAGTTTTATAGTATAAACGCATGTGCGCCTTCCCGCCGTGTTCCCCACCTGATGACAGGTCCAAGCTGCAGCAGGTGCAGGAACAGAACCAGAGGTCGGTCCCGGCCCAGATCCCTGTGGATGAACGTCAGCGTTAACTGGATGAGCACCGCGGGCAGCAGCGTGAAGGCGATGGTGAAGCTCATCCAGATCACGTCGTCGGTCTTGTGGTATCCGCGGCTGAGGACGCAGGCGGTGATAAACTCCGCGCAGTAGAGCAGGGTGGTCCACACCACGCTGAGCGGGGGGTGAACCCGGCCCCCGGAGGTCACCACCATCACCCCGCGCTCCCCTCCGGAGGAACACGGATCCATCTCCGTGATCTCCCCGCCCTGCTCCTCCATGGCTACTTCACACATGTTGCAATCAGGAGGCTGGAAGCTACGACTGATTGATCATTAAAGGTGAATCCCGCTCATCTCCGGTGTCGCATGTTGTCCCTCTCCACAGCCAGCCCCTGATTTACCGTAACAAGGCGAATCGCACCGTCAGTGTCCAGGTTTGGAAACTTCTGCCGCGTCACGAAGTCACGCTAAAATCAACAGACGCTTCCACGAAGGCAGTCAGCGGCGGTCTGCGGTGCCCGGGCCTCAGAAAGCTCCTCGTTTCAAAGAGTAAACACTCCGGGAACCACGGGTGTTCCTCACACCACATCATTGATGCACGGCTGGGCTGTTTGTGTTTTTACTGTTAAACCATCCGCTGCGTCAAGCCAGCCCTGACAACACGGGGAGACCGGAAATAAGAGTTATTTTCACAATAAAACACTAATGACATCGAGATGCAGTTTAAATCGATTCAGTATATTGAAACTGATAAATTATTTAACAATATGCATGATTCCTGGAAAAATAAACAAACAAACAAACAAAAAAACGATTTACAACGGAAGAATTAAACGGCTTAAAGCCTGAGTCTAGGTCCGCACCATTTAATAGTCGCCACGGTATGCCGGCCGGTCCTGCTCGGACGGCGAGTGTCGTTCATGAAAGCGGTTTTTACCCAAAACTTGTTCAAATGTTTACAATTTATCATTTTCATTTTGGTTTTTATAGTCTTTTAGCACCGCTTGTGAAGCTAAAAGTTCACAAAATATTTTGTGACATTTATTCACAAAATATTGTGATACTTTCCCAGCGCTTTTTGTAACAAGTAATTTACTTAGTACTCCAGTCTGCATCCGCTAATTATCTCATTTTCACCATCCACCCACCCATCCATCCATCCATCCCCAGTTGTAGGCTGACGAAAGGAGCGGACCCATTGTGTATTAACGGTTAGAAGCAAAACAGAAACAAGCTAATAGCTTTTGTTACGAGACCTAATCTGAAAACCCTTAAGGACCGAATATGTTTTCCACTTAATGTGTTTTCTTTTCTTTATAAATAAATCACTTACGTCCTTTTAAAGCATTATCCTGGCAAATGTAGATCAATTTCCGGTTTAGCGGGCTATCCGTCGTGAACGGTTTAAGATTGTTTAGGTTTTTTTTCTGTTTAAACGATGACTTTGTTTATTTCAAATAGATTTTATTGAAGTACTGATCTATTTGTGTGGGTGTTAGAAACATTACATGCATTTATTGCTTCAATAGATTGCCTTGAACCAGAGTGAAACTATTTAAAGCACAACGCAACAGGATTATCGGATGAAGCTGGCGCCCTCTAGTGGACACATTAAAAATAACGTGTCAATGTCGAAATTGTTTTTCAAAGCTAATGTTATTTCACCTCAACCAAATAGCCACACAATAATAAATCGGGGAAAATACTTTATAGATTCAGTGGGAAACCATGCTAATCTCTCTGGAAAAAAATCCTCCCTGCCAGAATCTGTCTGTCCGAATGAAAGCACTGTGAAGGACGGGCAAAGAGATCAGTTTCTCTGCTTTTCCATTTTTAGTTCCACCCAGCAGGGCAGGCTTGGCCTTCTTTTAGTGACTGAAAGGCTTCAGAGTGAAGCGAGAACAGGTGCAAACCACAAACTGAGAACCATCTATCAAAAGACTTCGCTCAAACACATGCACTTCACTTATTAGTGATATAATCATATAAAAATATCCATGTTTGCTCTGTCACATATTTGTATGATCTGTTTACAGGATCCCTCATTCAATTAAACATATACAAAGACATAATGTATGTCTCTTGAATGTTACTAATAAGAATCCTGCAGTAGCTTAGATCAAGTTTCCACTCAGCTTGGACCGAACATGGGAACAACTTTAATCAGATATTAGGAGAGATGACCCTGAGTTTGTGGAGGAAGTTTGCATGTTGTCTGAAGGCTTATCATTAGTAATGGATGTGTTTACAGAAGCAATGCATTCATTATAATATACCACATTATGTGAAAACAAAATATAGGAAGTTCATCATGTAGCACAAGGCATTTCCTGCATCACCAACCTTTCCGGTGGATTTTAAATGCTTCGAAGGGAGTCGGAATAAAATACATATTCTGTTTGTTTTTGAGTATTTTTAGCAAGGAGATAAAGCTGTTACAAACATTTATTGTTCTGTCCTTAACAGACCAATATACTAAACCTGTTTAAATTTATGTAAAAAGATCAGAGGTTCCAGAGGCAAGTCAAGACCCAAAATATTGGTTGAGAATACAAACATTCCCTCAAAAATCAATTAATCATTGATTTAACAACAGCATCAGTAACCAAAGAAGTATGAAAAAATGAATAGAATATATATTTTAAAAGTAATCTATTTTATTTTTTTGGACTTCAAAAAGTACAAAATACATTTTGGAGAAGACTAGGGATGTTTGCCGCACTTTTTGGACGTAATACTATTTCTCAGATATGGTTTCAATAAACATAGCCATTTCCAATTGATTTCATACAAAATGTTTAAATAACAACACATTTAAAACTATTTAAAGAATGTATATTTTTCACAATTTGCAATTGAATTCAGAATTAGATGTAAGAATTGACTCCAGGCCTAGGGACAGTTGCTGCATTGTTTGGGTATGGTTGTAACATATTTAAAGACAATAAATATTTTACTAATAATAAAAGGGTTAGTTTAACTATAACATATACATATTTTCATTAAAAAGTGTATTTATCAGTTTTAATCAGATGAAAATTATTTGCCAAGATGATAGAGCCCCCTATGTTAAGGTCAAAGTGGAGAAACATGGAACAATCAGTGAGCCGATTGATGTTTATTTTCTCCATATTCAGTATATGCATTCATTATAATAAGCTTTCTTAAAAAAAAAAAAAAAAAAGATATTTTTTTTAACCCTAACCCTTTTCAAACGCTGTACAGTGGACTGTTTTAATTCAAGAACACATTTGAAAAAGCTGTAACAGCTTCCTTAAAGCCATAATAAAACCTTAAGTGCTGGTCAATTTAGGCGACCCTAAATTAGCCTGTTCTAACCATTATAACTAAAGGATGTTTAAATTGGTTTAAGCTTGATCACAAAAATAGAAGTATAGGGGGAAAAAAACAAAAACGATACTTCTCTACATAAAAAACTGTATTTTTCCAATAAATCCTGGAGCAGCTTTTGAAGATGCTTGTTTTTTCTTTCTCTGAAAAACAGGGAATCAAATTTTGCATGTGCAGTATGAGTGTCATTAGCTTGTTTCTGATTAGAAAAAAAAATGTTACATCTAATTGTCACTAGTCTGTCCACTCCTGTCCACTCATCAACAGCTCAGGGAGTCAGCAGCACCACATTTTTCGGGGGTGCACATCACAGACAAACTCACCTGGACTGTAAACACCACCTCACTGGTCAAAAGGGAACAAAAGCAGTTGTACTTCCTGCAAAGGATGAGGAGAGCCCACCTGCCCCCACCCTTCCTCACCACCTTCTACAGAAGCACCATAGAGAGTGTTCTGACCAGCTGTCTCACTGTGTGGTGTGGAGGCTGCAGCGCCTCAGACTGGAAGAAAGTGAGGAGAGTGGTAAAAACTGGGAAGAGGCTTCGCAGCATTCAATGCAGGACCAGCAAATTCTGCAACAGCCTTTCCCTCGCTGCCATTAGACTGCAGAACTGTTTAAAACTCTAATCAAGTCACAGATCAAGACTCTGCATCACACTATACACATCATACTTGCACAACATTGCACTGCATTTTGCACCATATCTACGGTATTTATTTATTTTTTGCACTGCTCTGAACCTTCCACATAAATGTATTTTGCATTTGCATTCCTTTTTTTCTTTCCTACACTGTTTACATTTTTATCACTTCTGCGCTTTAGAAATGGAAATGTTTGTTTTACTGCAAAGCTGCTCTTTCACTGTCGAAAAGCTGTATGTATCGACAATGAAGCTTGTCTAAGTTTAAGTCCTTTCTATTTAGTCAAATTCATTGGTGTGGCTCTCCACCATTGTGTGTCTTAATGCAAAACAAACAAGATACAATTCTTGACTGTAGTTTAATTTAAAAAAAAATTGCTTCATACATAAATTGTTTGCAGACCTTCTATCTTATTCTAAATATCTGATTATTTGTTCTCAGCCTTTTTATTCAGGAAGATGCTGACTGTATAAAGACTGTAATAGGAGCAGAAAATGGTGTAAAAATATGTGCAAACTATAGAGAGCAGAGGCATAGATCAACTAATCAGCCGCTTCTGTTTTTGCTGGACGAGAGTAAATCTGTGTGTGCATCAGTCTCAGCTGACCAAGGATTGTGATCACAGTTAGGGATGAGTTTACTCAGCAGAGGAGGGCACTGGCTGATTGGACATGGATTTAAATTACATAATGGGATAAAGCTCCAAGTCTCTGCAGGATGTTGTAACAGGATATTGATTTTGACAGAGCAGCTGAAGCGTTGCACCGCAAGTCTCCCAGTAATGTTCCATACTGATTTCTTTCTTTTTTTTCTTTTTTTTTTTTATAAAATGTGTAATGATGGTCATCATTGAGAATTTGTCAATGGTTTATAGCCCAAGTACCATGATGTTTCAGGTATAAAGTTGCAAAATGGCGCCATCTAGTGGCTATTATTAAGCACCCTGTCTCTTACAGCGTCAATAGCTGAGTTGATAGTGTTATGTAATGTGGTCTGTTGAGTTAATCCGCAGTAAACATAGATCTGAGATTCTTTTTTCCTGTCTGTCAGTTTTCCAGCTGATTAACTTTGAGATGACATTCTACAGCACCTATATGTTTACTAGTTTCTATTTAATTATGGATTAAAAATGCACAAACTAAAGCACACAATCCCCTCAAATTATGAAGACATAGTTTGATCTTAACCAAATGACCACAATAAAAGCTGGCTTTACCTTCGATAACAGTGGGTCATTTGGTAGAGACCCTGCTAACAACAGCCATAAGACTATACCTTGTTTACAATATTAAAACATGTTTCAACTGCGCTGCTGATACTTCAAGGTCACGAGTAGACTGCTTACATAATCCTCTATATTGAGTTAGTCCACTTACTGTGGTTTTGCTCCTTTAAAAGCAAAGAAACCCCATTTTGCACAAAAAAAAAAAAATTACACTACTCACTGTTTTTAAGCGGGGAAGCAAACAAATAAACTAAACAAGCTTCAAACATACACCATGTGTATTCAATTAAATCTAAAATAACTGAGACTGACAGTCCTTAGGCCACTCAGGACTTTGACTTTTATAAATAATCAAAAAAATATATTTCAGACAATGCAGGAAAAGAAAATAAATTTACCACATGCAACACTTACGTGTAATAAATTATATATATAATAACATCACATGTAAAATGTATTGTTTATTTCTTAAAAGGGGTATTAAGGAATCTTTAATCCTGCCCCTTCACTCTCCTATTGTCCTTAACAGCAACAATCTTCCAGATTCCTCCTTTATTTATGAGTCCATACTAAAAATAAATACATTAATGTTTTATTTATGTGCCTACAGAAAACTTAATTAAATTACCAATAGCCCACATGTCCACATTCATTGCACAAATATGTATACTCTGTACAATGGCTAAGAGTATTGATTTTCACGCTCCTTCTTCCATCTTATATCTTTTTAAGAAATCCAGTTTGATCTTTTTCCAAAAGTCTCATGCTTGGACAATAATTTAGTTCAACACAAAGGTTGTACGTAAAATGTAGATTCTTTTCACGTTTGCTTCGAACATGTAAGATTTTGTAATTTAGATCAGGTATTATATATACCTTCCTTCTCTCTCAACAAAAGGTTTTTGGATGCTCTCTCTTTATTTCTAGCTTTCTACATTAATTGTGAAATTTGGAATTCAACCATATCAAAAAATGTAGGCAAGCAGAAAGAAATGAGTAATGGATAAATGTGGTTATGATAGCCAGCCTTATGAGTTATCCTGATTGCTTTTTATTGTAGATTTTGAGTGTTACCTCAAAATACACAATACACAATAGCTCAGTTAAATTCAAATTAGTGAACAGTAGAGAATGTGTAATGCTTTATAATTTGAAAATGGTTTTACTTTATGAAGAACTGAAATGCATCTAAATAGTGTGGACATGTTTGATGATTTTCACTCACTTTCATTTCAGGACCTTTATTGTATGTTTCCAGAAGTATGTTTGCAACTTATACTTCTGACACAAAAAATGTTTAAAATCAGTCATTTATACCTTTTTATCATTCCACAGCTGTCATTGGGAAAGAGGCAGAGCAGGCTTTTAGTCCATCACAACCAACCTACAATAAACACACACCTGAAGACAACTTAGAGAGACCAGTTATTCAAACAGTCACATTTATTAAGAAGCCAGAATACCTGGACAGAATCGGGAGAACATGCAAACTCTCTGTGCAAAAAAAAAAAAAGCAACTGATCCAACAAATTTCTTGCTTCAAGGCAACACTACCAACTGCTCCACCAGGCAGGCTAACCTAGCAAAACTATTTTTAAATTAGATCATTGAGACCAAAGACATCATTTGTTGAAATGTCTATTGGAACCAGATCATGATACTAAATACTACACAGTTTAACAGAAATAATAGTAAGTCCAACAGGATTATTCCAAAGCAGCTACAGACCTGGCAAAACCATTACAAGCTGTATATAATGATCACATACCTTCACTAACCTTAACATGTATAACCTTGTTTTTCTCACTGAAATTAAATCAGACAAAACCTTTCCTGTCTTTGTTATGTTAGATTTCTTACACTGAAGAGAAATAAGTCAATCAAGATCTGAAGACATAAGGAAGGGAGTTAAAACTTCAGCAAAAAAGTAAAAGCGAATATTGGTTGAAATAACACAATGGCTCAGTAGGGAGAATTGTTGTCTTTCAATCCAAAACTTGTAGGCTTGATTCTAGCTTCCTCTTCCTGGGAAGCCAAGTTGTCTGAGTATTGATGTTCTGTATGAGGCAACGTTGGTCCTCGAGTGCTACTGTTCTGCATCCTCTTCATGCATCCCTGCTCCAACATACCTGAAATAAAAGGACACTTTACCTCCTTGGCATATCCTTAAGTTTAGGAGAAAACAGACCATTACCAATTTATTTGTTTCAGTTGTGTTGAAGAAGATTCGTTCAGGATCATTGCAGGAAAGTGGCACTCGAGGACCAAGGTTGCTTACCCCTAGTGAATGATTTTGACTGAAAGTCCGCTCACCAAAATAAGACAACAAAATACAACTGTGTTGCTTGGTTGATTTTGTGTGCAACTTTTCAATTGGCCAGAATTTATTCCTTGCATTTAAAGCATGTATAAATCTGTCTGTTACAATACAAAAAAGTTGAGGCTGGCAGTGAGAATTGTTTTAACGCAACAGCCAACCTGCATATTCCTACTGGCCATCTTCATACCTTCAGTGTGACCATCTTCTAATGTCTACTTAGAGCATCCAGCTGTATACTGCTCTTTATTTGATACTCCTTATTATTACCAGGAAGGATCGAGCCCTATTGTCTTCAGAGATGCTTTGATTCATTGTGGCATAAATTTTAAAAAGTGTCCTTACTTAGATTTTGCCCATATCGCATCACAGTACCAATAGTGTCAGATTTGTTGTCTGCACGTCCATGATGCAAATGTTATTTCAAAAACTGGTCATTGTGTTTATATTTGTAAATATCTTTCCAATAATCCCTTCTATTGATAGAACTAAAAGCATGATACTGCAATGTCAGTATGGTTGCCTGGTGAAACGACCACTCTATGACGTCATCAGGAAAGGGGATCATGGTGCATCATACATCACACCACATGACACATTTAGCCCTCCAGGAAGGATTTATTTACCTTAATTTGGCCAAGTTAAAAAGAGACCCTTTTTGTCGAATGAGATTAAAGGGAGCTCGGAGATTGGTCCTCAAGTGATCACAACAGTTCCTTTCTGCACCACCCACATGAGGTGACTAAAGGCTTAGTGTGAGCCTGATTAGTTGGACAGCTGGTGGGTGCAGGATGTTAGTAGTGGTGATCACCCAAACAAATGCATGGACATAGACCTGCTTCTGTGAGTATATTTGGTACTTTTAACTTGTAATATTCTCATGCAATCTTCATTAGAGTTCAGTGACAGGGTGGAAGATCCTTTCATTGCATTGCATCACCTGTGCAACATCTTAATGACAAAAAGAATAGTTAAATTTTAAGAAGTTGGGTGATAAATACTAAGTAGCAAGAGGTTCTAATGTACGTTTGTTGCTTGTTTTTTCGTTAGTTATTATATAGATTTTCAGACACGCCAACATGGTTTTTATAATCTTCTTTGATATTTTTTGGAGTTGTCTATTGAGGTATTTGCTTTGAAAAGCCTTGATAACTGTAATATATTGCACAGGAGCGTGCATCTCTAAAACATGGACTACAAAATTCCTTTGAAGGTGAGCAAAATCTAATTAACCAATAAACAGAGACTGAAAATGACTGCAAAAAATGTAAAAAAAAAAAAAATAAATAAAATAAACATAAAAAAATAAAAATGCCTGAATGCAGTTTTTTTATGTCTACATTGAAATGAGCAAAAACTGGTAAATGTATGACTGCACACAGTCTTCATTGAAGGTGTTAAAATATGGTTTGATCTGAGAACAAATATGGGTCATCTTGTGAACAACACTGACAAAGTGGGCCATTCTAAACTGGCTTCAGCAGATTATGGTGCCTTAACAGATGCACTCAACAGGCGTCACTTATATCTATCAGGTTAGTCAGTGGCCTGAATACCTCAGACAGACCTTCTGTTTAATGTCTACTCCAAGGCTGAGGTGCAGAGCTCACAGCTCCTACTCATCACTTAGGGGAAAAAAGCCATCTGGAAATGTCTGTCAAGCCAAGCATGGATGGACATAAAGCTTCTTTGTGTCAGAGCCGGTCGTGAACTCCTCAGGTGCAACAGTTTATGTCTAACACTGAGGTTTACTGTCTGCCTGCAGGTACCAGTTCGAGAGAAGATGGTGGCCGCTGTGCTCGCCTTGTTCTCCTCAAGTAAACATGTTCAACCTGATGAGCAACTGCTGCAGCTGGGTCTCCAAAATCCAGGAGCCAATCAGGTACACATTAGGACCACTGGGGCTCTTTTCTCTAAGACCCTCCTAGAGACTAAAAAGACTAGCGAATGAACTAGTTTGGTACATATATGCTGGTTATCATAAATTAGTGAACAGTTACATAGCTGTAAACACTGGCTCATCATGATTCCCTCCGTTCATCTTTTTTGATTATATTCATTGAGATGGTGTAACAAAAAATTTGGAAAAGGTTGCCTGATTTGATAGAAAATACAATCATTATGGAATTCCATTTTCGTCTCTTATGGTAAATAATATTCCAACCAATCTTTTGTAAAAAAACAAAAAAACATAATTCATCTGATGTAAAAGCAAGTGAGCTTAAGTTTAAGGTCAGGAACTGATGGCCGGATGGTGATTTTCAGGATTTGCAGATTAGCAAAGGAAGTTATAGTTACTTTAGTCATGTAGTCAAGGAGTTCAGGTCCCGGGGAAACTAAGGAGCGCCTAGTGGTGTTAGTATGAACATCATACTAGCACCACTGTGTTGGACGGTCATCTTTTTTTCATTTGTAGTCTATAGATTGTTGTCTTTGTCATCAGTTCTATACTGATAGTCGGTAGTCAGGTAGTTATTAGTCAGTAGGACTTGAATTTCTTTAGGTTGTGGAATTATGACCTGTTTTTTTTTCCTGAATCCTTGAATCTATTTGGAGCTGATATAAAGGATTTTTTTATTCTATAAAGCTTTACAGTAATCAGACCTGCTTGTGGCTATTTAAATGTAACGTTGCTTTTTAGAAAAGGCATTTTGTCACATTAAATACTCAACTTAAGGAGGATTGTTACTTTTCATGTATGGCCAAGTTGTTTTAGATATATCTATTATTTCTGCCTGATAATTAAATGTGTGGAATAATTTGAAAAAAAAAGGACAAAGAAATCAAACAAAAACAAATTGTTTTAGGACTGTTATGAATCAGCTAAATGTGCAGACATCCAGTCAACAAAGACAAAGTTACAAGGGCTGCAAAAAAGAAAAAAAGAACGCTTGTATCATAAATTTATTTTAAAAAGCCTTAAGGTTGGAAAAACTAATGGTCCAAAATAACTTCTAAAAGTTTTCCAGTCTTTTTTCTTGATGTAGCTCTGTTTTTATCTCTCTGAAGGAAAGTGACCATTCTTGTGGTTGGTCTTGACAAGGCAGGAAAGACCTCTTCGATCAGAGGGATGTTAAAAGGTACTGAGCAAATGAACAAAGCAGAGCTAGAAGTTCACAGCAGGAATGTAACACCTAACTGTGTGTCTCCTCCAGTCCCTCCTGGGGTTGATGTAGGGCCCACTCAGGGCTGCATTAAAAATGAGCTGAGAGTTGAAAACTACCTTGTTACGCTGTTGGACGTTGGAGGATCCGTGGAGTCCCGTGGAGTTTGGAGGGAGCTCTATGGAGAAGTCCATGCTGTCATCTTTGTGGTGGATTCCAGCGACAGGCAGAGGATGAAGGAGGCCAGGGAGGTTCTTGCAGACCTGCTGAAGCAACCGAGAGTTGCAGGAAAACCCATATTAGTGTAATTACTCCCTGCTTTTAATCAGAACTAACATAATGAGCATTTGGATTAAACACTAATAATATTGACTACATAACTACATTAGAGCTTTTTATCATTCTTTCAGGTTGGCAAACAAACAGGATAAGATGAACGCCTTGCTGGGAACTGAACTGATTGAGATTCTCTCTCTGGAAAAGCTAGTCAACCAGAGCCGTTCTTTGTGCCATATTGTGAGTATCATTCCTCATAGAAACATCGGCACACACAAGCTTTATGCAGAGACTGAACATGCCAAGTAAACTTGACCAAAGTGCTTAACAAATATGAACAGCACACATGATAAACATATATGCTACAAGCAACAAGAGTAAAATACAGAATCAAAACACATACAATATATTATAAGACTTGAATGAAGCGAATGAGGTGAAATTATGACTACCGAAAATAAAGTCCTTACATCACTTTAAGGAGATTTCCAGCTAAAAAGGTGTTGAATTTTACAGTTAATTTTGGATAGATGTTTGTAAAGAAATTGATGGATTGGTGGATTAGGACAGAGGATTAAATCTAGAAATGCAAATAGTTCTCTATACTCTGCTTTATTTTCTTACAGATCCATGATTGAAATCTATTTCTATTCTGAAAGTTTTCCTATTCCTTAAAATAGTTAGCAATTAAAACAGATTAATGCATCAAGTGCAAATTTAGACAGTTGGTTTGTCTTTTAAGGAACCTTGTTCAGCCTTAATGGACCTGCGGCGCTGGTCGGACAGAAAAACTCTGCGAGGCCTTCGCTGGTTGCTGCGTGCTGTTTGCCTGGATTATCCGGAGCTGTGTGCACGGGTGGCCCAAGACAGCAAGAGGCCCCTGGAGCCCAGAGAAAAAGAAAAGAGAGGAAAAGCTGAGAAAGTGCAAAGAAAAACCAAAATGGAACGGTACATTCAATTCCAAAGAATGCAAGCTTTAATTACCTGAGAGCAATGTAGTTGTTGTAAAGAGACCTGAAAGTTTGTTTCACTTTTACCTCAGGAGGAGATCCAGCAAGTCAGATCTGCGTCAGGTTCATCGGCCCAGAGACAAGGAGAAACGGAGCAATAGTGAAGGAAAGCTGCAGCCCATACGGAACATGCTGCAAAAGGTCAGAAGAACATCGGTTCTCATAATGAAAACATTCTAATTATCTCCAGAAATATTACACCAGAAGTTGATTTGTATTAATGCTTTAAACTGTAATAACTTTCATCTCAACTGATTTGATGGTTCCTTTGTTGTTCAAACTCTTCAAAATTCTTCTGGAATTATTTTTATTTTTGTTTTTGGGGGGGTGACACCAATTTTCAGGAAACCTGAAGGGTATGGGGAGCTTAAAAACTAAATCTAACAGCTAAGACCATTTTAAATGGCAGTTAAAGCAATATTAAACCTATTTTAATGTCATTTTGTATAAGCAGGAACAGAACATCTGTCTTCTCTGTTGTGAGAAGTTAGACTTTGTTCATAACCATTTTGGCATGCGCCTATAAATTAAGCATTTTTGGTCCTTAAGCGAAGTTCATTTAGAGCCACAAAAGCAACACGACTCTTTGCCACCAAATGGCTTACATTACTCAATAGATTAGTATTTAAGGCCAAGTTTGTTACAGAGCACAGCAGAGGGCTTGGTGCAGACCCCAGCCCTATAGCTATGACTTCTAACATGGCCAACAACCAAGTTTAACCTTGTTTTTATTTTGTTTTTTCCAGGAAAATACACTGAAAAAGAGGCTGAGGTCAAGTAATATGAGGAAGAAGTCAGTCAAGATCAAAAAAGCTGCAAAAGACGTTGAGGAGCCTCCTGAAGAGGAGGAGGAGGGAGAAGGAAATGAAGGAGAGCAGGATAATCCTGGTAGCAGAGACAAAGCCAGTAGTGCCCTGATCCCTCCTAAAAAAGGCAAACTGAAACGCAAGACCAAAGTGAAAGAGGAGACACTGGACGCTCCGGAATCACTCACAAGCAACGAGACGCCAACCAAAGGTTGTCCTTAGCTACGTTACATTTTTCATTTGACTCTGGAGAAATAAAACCTAACAACTGTTTTATTTCCTATTTAGGTAAAGGAGAAAGGAAGAGGAAGAAGAAGGTTGTTAAGGTGAAAAGAAAAAACAAGATCAACACAGAGGGAATGCCTGTGGCTTACTCTCAACCTGTGGACCTTTCTGCAACTTTTGGTGAGCAAATAACGTCCCACTTCTTCCTACCTCGACCTGTCAGAAAAAAAAAGCCCTGGACTGTGAAATTATAAACTTCAATTGAAACCATTGAACTTTTCTCCTCATAGACCTCTACCGAAAAGCAATCCTGGCTCTGAAGGAACGTCAGGATCAGGCTCCAACACAGTAAATCCTGGTTGCTTCCAGCCACCCCAACAGAGCAGTAGTACCAAGCACACCTCATCACCTGGATATACCTGTGTGTTTTGTTAAAACCAAAGAAAGTTGTATTGACATGAACCCCGAGCCTTTGAGCAGAAACCTCAGTGAGCAGTGAAGGGAAGGCAATAAAAAGTTGTCATGTACAGTATAAAAAAAAAAAAAAAAGGAAAGTTAGGCGTTATTGTGAGTCTCTGGCCAAATTGTTTAATAGTAGTTTATAAAATGTTATACTGTGGGATGATTTATAAATTGTATTTTTATAATTGTTTGACAATTATTAACATTAAGTGGAGATCTTTGCAAAGGATTGCATATTTTAGATTAGATTTTTGAATGATTAATAAAACATTCTCTCTATGCCTGGCTAGCATGTCTCCTATTTGTTTTAATGCTGATATTCCAACATTTTGGACTTTGTATTTTACTTCATAGCTGATCAGGAAACAGGTTGGAATGAATGTCCTCTTAGAGCAGCAGTCGCCCAATTAATAAACAAACCAATATAAAGTTAAAAAAGGCGTAATCATTAGCAACCCATGAACTGAAAAGGATGGCAGCAACCAGATGAATGTCCTCGGTGAAGCATGTTTTCCATATCCCTGAACTGAGAGGAAGATGAGGACCAAGTAAAATGGATCCAGAATGGACTTCTTAAGCTTGGCTGAAAATTAAAAACTGCATCTTTAATGTGAATTTAAGAAATGACTAGGTCTTTTAGAAATGGTTAAGCCTATGATGTCAGATCACTGAGTTGTTTCTTTTTTATGTGTGTCCTGTTTTGCCAATATAGTAGACCATTATGGTGTTGCCATAAGGTTCATCTTAATAATTATTTTCAAAGCTGTATTAGAAATAGATTAGGTAATAAGAGCGTATGAAACTGACATAGAAACTGAAAGGAAGATGAGAAAGGGAGATGGGATAAGAATTAAGTGGATATATAACATTGAGTTGCGTAGTATTTAAAATTATAAAAGTTTCAGCCACACTGGTTGTGCAAAATAATGTTTATGAGTTTAACAGTTCATCAGTCTGATGGCAGTAGGGAAAAAGCTGTTGAAGAAGCTGCTGGGCCTGCAGTCGATGCTGTGAAGCCTCTTCTCAGAGGGCAGCAGGGAGAACTGTCCATAATGGGGGGTGTGAGGGTGCACTAATGATGTTACAGGCCTGGTGCACGCAGCGCTCGGATGAAGTGTCCCAATGATCCTCTAGCTATCTAGCAAATATAGTGGCTAAGATCCATCTCTTTCAACAGAAGAGGTTGTCTTAGACATAACCGTTCACCCACTTACAAAGCACTCTTATGATCAATACCCAGAAGATTCACCTTTCACCTGCCCTCCTCTGACTCACACTTCAATGAGGCATGAGACTGAACCCCTCTGACGAGGGGGATAACGACCCATCAGAACCCCTTAATGACCTGTAACCCCCCAGGTGACCTCCATGGCAGATCCAGTAGGAGGGATAGCCAGCTTTTGTTCCCCCTAATTCTTTGTTATACCTACAGTTACAATGTTACTATGGTTACCACGGTTACCATGGTGGTGCTCCAGCGCAGCGACCAAGAGCCGCTCCTCTTGACAATTTTAACAAAATATGCCGCTTAAAACGATACAAACTAGACATCAATCCCACATCTATGATCGCCAATGCCTGCTGGAGCTACAGTCACAAAATGTTTTCAATACTGACATTTTTGGCTGTTTAAAAAGCTGCGGAGTGCTACAGACGGATGTCAAAAAAACAACAGTGGCAAATAACGACGGAGGAAAAGATGTGCGAGATGGAGAAAGCGAGGATGCAGAGGGGGGTTAACTGCAAAGCTAAAGAGAGATCCCCACAGGCCACCGCTTCCATCAATCCTGCTTCCCAACGTCCGCTCATTGGAAAACAAAAGGGATCATCTCCGACTTGAACTCTCTTCAAAACAGGAGATATATAACTGCTGCGACATCATTCTGATGGGGTCTTGCTGCGTCCAGCAATAACAGATGGTGCTGTTGGTCTGGGGGGGGCTGATGCTGTACCGCACCGATGGAAAACAAAGAGCTCTGCGTGAATGGAGGCTCCTCTGAGACTGTTTCCAGACAATCTTCAGCATCTTCAAGGGAAGCACAGCCCTCTGCAGGTGAAAACTAGGAGAGCACTCTAGATGCTTCCCTGCCAAATGCTGAAACATCCCCAGCCGGCTCCTCCCGGCGACCTCCGGCTTCCACACCTTCTCCAGCATCGTCTGTCGCTGCTAAACCTGCCCATGGCACCACTGCTGCTTCTACCACGTCAGCCTCTTCTCCCCCAGGGGGCTACTACCCTCACAGCATCGTCATCATCGTCCTCTTCCTCCCCTGAGCCAGGAGAAGCGAGTGCTTCAGGAGCTGGAGGCAGTAGTAGCCGCTCAACAACAACTGCTGCTTACCTTATTTAAAAAATGAAATTGTCTAGAGAGCTGTTCTAAATGAAATGTCTTTTTGTCTACACTTGTGTATACAAGATGACAAAATAAATCTGTCTAAGTCTAAATATATTAATCTCAGTGCTTCCCACCACTAGTTAGAACTGAAGAAGCCTCTTGGATGAGAGGCGAAACGTCTTCTCGAAAACTTTACGTCCAGTTGCCTAAACCAAACCTTTCTGTCACGATGGGTTTGAGCACTCGAACCCACATGCAGGAAACACACTCAGAGAGCTAGTAAAGTCAACAGGTTTATTGGTGAGGGTTAAGATGTATAGAGAGAGAGATAGAAAGCAGGTATTTCTCAGCGGGGAATCCAGCGATCTGGTGAAGCAGAACCGGAAACTCTAAGGGGGAGATCACAGGACGGTCCGTAGGGAAACTGAACAAGGCTGATGAATTATTTTGAGTGGACTCATGTTTGGGGGTTTCTTGGTAATCCTTGGGTCCTGTTTGTGGGGAATTAGTCCAGACAAGGCAAGAATTAGACTCAGCTAATCTCAGGAGGCTAGAGTACCCAATACTGGCAAACACTCTGGCGTCGAGGTGGTTGCAGTCCGTAGCTCTTATACTACTCTGGTAATGACCCAACAAGCCGCAGGTGAGGAGGAAAAGCCCGGAAGCCGCCCTCCAAGCCAGAACGGGGAAAGAGCACCATCTGGAGGTGGAAACAAAAACACAAAAAACAAACCCCACAAACAGAAACCTAACACTTTCAAGCTGGATGACTGAGAATCTTCACAGATACTAGCAAATATAGCTGAACCAGATCAAATGAATTAGCCCAAACTATGGACGAAATTTTGATTTACGCAACTATTTTTTAATATAACTAACTTCAGCATGTCTGACCATCCAATCACAGACCCAAATTAAGTGGCGCATCAGATGTTTGCAAAGTGAGCTTCTCAGAAGCGACAGTAGTGACAGCCAGTCACACAAGAAAAGACGGTGAGCCAATCAGGAGCTTGTAGGTGGTCAAACGGCTTCAGTTGAAGCTGCTGTTTTCCGCTTGGTCCTAATGCTTGATGAATGTCTGTGTACTGTAGCGTTACATTGTTTTTGGTCAGTAAAACCTTCAGGGGAACAAAGCGGACGTTTGAAAAAGTGCAGGGTGTTAGGAATCCAGTTTGTGTGGTCTGTTTGTGTGTTTCCTTTTCTCCACCACCAGGAGGCGCCCTGTCTACGTTACGCCTCCCTGCACATCTGCGGCTCATTGGACCATTATCTGGAGGAGTATTTGAGCAGTGGGCTGTCACTACCTCGATGCCAGAGTGTTTGCCAGTTTTGGGTACTCTAGCCAAGCTGAGATTAGCTAAGTCTAACCTAGCGTTGTTCCTCTGAGACCTACCGTATTTTCACGACCATAAGGCGCACCGTACTAAAAGGCGCAGTCT